TATTCAAAGGCTAAAAGTAAGAGAGGAGTTTGGATGAAATGAGAGAAAGATGTTTTCCTCCACACAAGGCTAAGGAAAGAACATGCAGTTATTCATTTCCACCCCAGAATGGTTCAAATATCATTGCTCAAAAACATACATTCAAAACAGGCCTGGGATTCATGCCTATAAGCCTAGTACACTTAAGGCAAGAGGATTGTTATGAGTTTGAGGCCAGCTTGGGCTACAGAGTGAGACTCTGCCTCAAAAAACAAATCAAGGAGCTGTGCATGGTAGCAAGCTGGGCATGGTGGTGCACACCTGTAGTCCCAGCACTCGGGAGGCAGAGGCAGGCAGATCTTTGTGAGTTCAAGGCCAGCCTGGTTTACATAGTGAGCTCCAGGCCAGCCCCCCACTTCAGGGAGTTCCTGTCTCAAAAATACTAGCCCCCCCCCAAAAAAACCCAAGGGGCTTAAGAAATGGCTTAGTGGTAAAGAGCACTGGCTGCTCTTACAGAGGACCCAGGTTTGGTTCCCAGCACCCATGTGGTAGCTAACAACCATCAGTAGTTCCATTTAATTCCAGGGGATATGATACCCTCTTCTGGCCTCTGTGGACACAGGTGCACTTACATACATGCAAGCAAAACATTCATACATAAAATAAAAATAAGTTAAAAAATATAAAAAACAAAACAGAAGTGCTGCTCAAAACACTAGTTCTAAAAATTATTGAAAAAGGAAAAATAATGATTTTTGCTGTCAATGCCTGAAACTATAGTGTTATAGTCTCCCTGTGTGCATACGTGTCCATGTGCTGAGGGGGGTGGGGAGTGGAGGCCCTTGGACAATGTAAGGTATTGTTCCTGAGTCATTCAACATCTTGTTTTCTTGAGACAATGTCTCTTACTGGGATCTGGGGCTTGCTGATTAGGCTAGGTTGGCTGGCCAGAAAGCCCCAGGGATCCACCTGTTTCTGCTTCCCTAGCTATGGGATTACAGGTACCACCACTACAACCAGCTTTTTACATTGGTTCTGGGCACTGAACTCAGATCTTTGTGCTTATACAGCAAGCGCTTTACTGAGCTATTGCCCCAGCTCCATATTCTCCCTTTTATATTGTTAAGGTATTGTCAGCTTTATTAATACATTTTTGTACACATGTTAATACCTATTTGCAGCCTTGTAATTTTTCAGATTTGGGGGAAGAGGTGTTAGTAACTACAAACGGTGCAAGGTAATGATTTTCCTCTAAGAAACCTTGAAATAAGGGACTATTTCTTCATCTTGATTCTTCTGCACAGCACCACTGGTGATAAGTTAAATGGCCCTGGAAAGTCCTAATAGAGGGAAATATTTTTTAATATATTTTATTTTTTTTTAATTTATGTGTATGAGTGTATCCTGAAAGTGGTTAAGTGTACCCATGTTGTGCAATGCCCACGGAGTCAGAAGAAGGCCTTGGAACTGAAGTTACACGGACTGCTGTTAGCCGCCATGTGGGTGCTGGGAATCAAACCCGGGTCCTCTGCAAGGGCAGTCAGTGCTCTTAGCTGCTGAGACATCTCTCCAGTCCCAAGAAGGAAAATATTTGATTAAGTAGGTCCCACTATTCACAAAATTATTCTGAAGAGCACAGCAGGTACTCATTCTTATGCAAGAATCCACAATATATCCTTGGAAAATGACACAAGAAAGTAGGTATCTCTCCCCCAAAAGATGTGAGCATGGGGAAGGAAGCAGGTCCTAATCAAACATAGCTTGTAATCACAAATCCAGGCAAAATGGCTAGAAAATTGAGGGACAGTTCCACGGTGCAATTGTAATCATTGAGTATAAATTTTTTTCCCTTGTTTTACAATCGGGTATAAAGGTACTTTATATAAATTGGAGGCCCTAGGTAATTACAATGAATATACATAACACTTTTAAAATATATATTGTGGCATATATTTTGAATTTCTGTATTTGACCTACTTACTCTACATTATATACCTAGTTAAATGTCACTATTCTTATGTCATCATGGAGGGGAGACTCAGATGTGCAAGGATTCTCTTAAAGCTGTGCTAGGAAGACTTTAATGGCAGTGCCCTCTTTTCTGTAATAAACCTTCACAGGAAACACAGGCACTCCAAACTCATAAGCTCTGTGAATGCAGTCCAAAACCAAGTAATCTTTATTTAAAGCAGCAGCCTTAATGGATGGAGACAACTGATCACTATCAGAGCTTGAATCATAATATGATTCATGAGTTCTTCTGTTTTCTTTGCTCTTCACACTAAACAAGCTCAGTAATGCTCTTTGGGCAGTGTGGTAGAACCAGAAGAAACAAAAGGCACTCAGGAATGTCAACCTAGGAGCTGGGTATGGTAGCTTATACCTTTGGGAAGCAGAGGCAGGCAAGGCAGATCTGAGTTTGAGGCCAGCCTGGTCTACATAGCAAGTTCCAGGCCAGCTGGGGCTACAGGGAGACCCTGTCTCAAAAAGACTTAAAAAACAAACAAACAAACAAACAAACAAACAAAAAAACCCACCCCAAGAAGAGTCACTGTACTTTTTAGGAGTCCAGAGGGAAAACAGCAGCACTGGATTCCACAGGAATTACATGTTTTTTGGGGGCGGACAGGTTCTCTAGCCCTGGTTTGGAATTTGCTATGTAGATCAGATCAGGCTGGCCTCAGACTCACAGAGATCCAGTTACAACTGTCTCCTGGGTGCTGGGATAAAAGGTGTGCATTACCGCATCCAGCATTTATGTTTTTCTTAACAATAATAGGTGTCAAACCTCCTAATTTCCACAAAATAACTTTAAAAAAATCTAGCCTTGGAGCTGGAGAGATAGTTCAGCAGTTAAGAGTACTGGCTGATCTTGCGGAGGACCCAGAAGACCCGGGTTCGGATCCCAGCATCCACATGGTGGCTAAAAACTGTCCATAACTCCAGTTCCAAAGGAATCTGATGCCCTCTTCTGACCTCCTCCAGCATTGTACAATACAGATGCACTTACATACATGCACGCAATATACTCATACACATAAAATAAAAATACTAAATATTTTTTAAAAATCCAGCCTGGCTGGACATGGTAGTACATGCCTTTAATCCCAGCACTTGGGAGGCAGAGGCAGGTGGATCTTTGAGTTCCTGGGGCTACAGGGAGTCTGTCTCAAAAAGACCAAAAAAAAAAAAAAAAAATCCAGCCTGAATGGATTCAAAGCAACAAAACACAGCATAGCAACTATTTCAGTTGCAATCAAAACTAAGGGGCCAGTGAGATGGCTTAGCAGGTAAAGGCACCTGCCACCAAACCTGGCAACCCGTTTGCTCCCTGGAACCACATGGAAGGAGAAAACCTACTCTTGCAAGTTGTCCTCTGACCTCCACACATACATACCTATATACATGCACATAAAACAAATACATTTAATTTAAAAATAAAATCAAACTAGATAAATAAATCCACTGACCTTGTAGAATTTGATGATATCTTCCTTGGTAAGTGTTTTTAAATATGCAACTTCGATGTTATCTGAAAAGGTAGCCAAGCAGTAATTTACTAATGTTTCTATATTAAACAGTCCAAAATACCACACTAAACAACAACACATTTCACTCTAAGTCTGTTGAATATCCATAATTTAAAAAATCTTACATTTATTTGCGGTTTTGTGTATATGTGCACAACTGTGTATGGAGGTCAGAGGACAACTTTCAGGAGTTGTCCCTCCTTCCACCACGTGGGTTCTAGGGATTGAACTCAGGTTCATCAGGCTGAGCAGCATGTACCTTTACCCACTGAGCCCTTTCATCAGTCCAAGTATCCTATATTTAAGTGACCACCTGCTCCTCTGAGTAGGAAGGTCAAAGATTTCAAGTAAAATTAAGTGGCTGCAGTGTTTTTTGTTACACTACATGGAACCAGATCTGAGTTCATATTGTGTGAGCTGTTGGATTTTTGAACTAGTCACTTCAAGTTTTCTAAGCCTCAGTTTCCTTATCTGGAAACTGAAGGAAACAACCACTTAATAAGGTTATAATGAGTCAGGCATGGTGGTGCACACCTTTAATACCAGCATTCTGTATGCAGAGGTAGGCAGATCTCTGTGAGTTCAAGCCCTGCGTGGTCTATATTGGGAGTTCCAGACCAGTAGGTGCTACACAGTGAGACCGTAAAAACAAAAACAGAAAAAAAAAAGAAAGAGAGTAAAAAAAGGTTATAATGATAATAAAAAAAGATTACATATAAAGTATAATTTAGGTATGTGATAAATGTTCACTAAATGGTAGACATTAGTATCATTAATAGTGGGTCTGTTGGGTGTGGTGGTACACACCTTTATTCCCAGAACTTGGGAGGCAGAGGCAAGTGGATCTTTGTGAGTTTGCAGCCAGCCTGGTCTACATAGTGAGTTCCAGGCCAACTGGGGCTACAGGGAGACTCTGTCTCAAAAAGACATAATGAAAAAAAAAAAAAAAAAAAAGTGAGTGGGTCCAACTGTTAGAAAATGAGGCCCCAAAATAGTGATAAGTCAAGATCTTCAGCTTGATGGTGCCAGCATAGAAAGAAAGCCAAGTCTCCTGACTTCAGATAGAACAGAAATAGTGAAATTGTTACCGATATATTGATGTGAGATCAAGATAGATCAAATGGAAATTATTGTTACATTAAATAAAGAACAGTTCTTTTAGAAGTGCTACCCTGTGTTCTCGAATTTTACACTCACATGCTACCCATTCATGTTGGGGTTCTGACGTTCCCTTACCTCTGTCATAATTGTACTGCTGGGAGATGATTTCTCCCCAGTATTTAGCACACTCTGCAGACAGTTTCTTTGGTTTGTCAAGTCGCCGAATTGCTAATGCTTGAATGTGTTTTTGGAACGCCTCTTCTGTCATGTCCTCTATGGACTTTTCCATAGTAAGTAGGAAAGCTTCCACTCTGCTTTCCAGGTAGTGAGGTGGTTTTTCTGACTGGATGATGAATCGCAAGCCCTGTATGCCATTGGCTCGACGAGGCCCACTGAAGACAATATAGCCTGAAACACAAATGCCAGCCTGTCAGGACCTTGGCACTGGAGACTTAGGCCACTTTTCATCTTTCAGAGCAAATAAAATCTACTTTAGATTAATTACCTTGAAGAAATATGAACAGTTAAAAGACAATGGCTTCTTCCTAAAGAGAGCAGAAAGGCTCCCTAAAGAACAGTTAGAAAGTTAGGAATGAATTTTTTTCCTTCTTAGAAAAAAACTCATAACCCAATTCATCATTCAAACTCACATTTAGTAACTCCTCACTCATGTCTGCAAATCTTTAAAAAAATATTTTATTTTTAATGTGTAGGAGTATACTATCTGCATGTGTGTAAATGCACCCATGTTGTGCAATGCCCTCGGAGGTCAGAAGAAGGTGTCAGATCCCCTGGAACTGGAGTTACAGACAGTTGTTAGCTGCCATGTGGGTACTGGGAATCAATTGGGTCCTCTGCAAGAGCAGTCAGTGCTCTTAACCACTGAGTGATCTCTCTAGCCCCACTTCTTCAAATCTTAAACTGAAGTTATCCCCACTCTTATCAAATGCTGTACTCATTTTCATCCCCTAACCACTGTTCTAGTTCTCTTTGCTTTAGCATCTTAGTTCCTCATATGACCATGACTCTTCTAACACATTTTTTTTGATAATCCATTTCTAAACCAGCTCTGTTTAAACTGACTCTCTAGGACTAGGCTAACTAAAGGTTGCAGTTCTACTGACATCCTGTGAGCTTACACACTGCCCTCTGCCCCTCTGCAACTCCTTTTCTCCCCCTCAGCTCCTCTCTCCCATCTTTTGCAGACTCACATTATTTTATTTTGCTCTTTCCAGTTCAAAGTCACAATAATGGATAGGGTCTGGAGGAGCTGCCCACATGAAGCAGACAGCCCTACACTCCCAGAGCGAGGCAGGGTCATGATCTGGGTGCAGTCTTTCAGGACTCCAGTGTGGAGGTCCCCTTTATGGTAGCAGCCACCTACCCACCTTGATGGTCACTTTGTCATAGTCAGAACTCAAAGAAGAAATTCACATGGACTTCTGGCCACCAGAGCCACTGCCCATATCTGGTACTTGCCTATGGTGTTCTGATGTTGTAGGCATCTCTACTGAATCTGAGCAGGAAGATGCAGCCAGTGGCTGGTGTTCAGGTTACCTGTGACCTCATGGCTGCTTATAAAGCCATACTCTCCACGGAACACAATGACAGGGCTGCTGATCAGCTTTGTGTGGAAAAGCTCTATATCTCTAGGTTGAGAGTCAGCTACCCATTTCCAGCAGTAACAAACCTTCCACTGAAGGCTTGCAATGTGAGGCAGCAATCATCAGCACTCCATGTTAAAGTAGCACCTGGCCAGCTTCCCTCCCTCCCTCCCTCCCTCCCT